AAGCTTAAGGAAGTTGAGCTGAGCTAAGCCAAGCCCTCACAGTGGGGAGGGCACTTCAGGAGGAAAAAGCTGTATGGGCAAAGGCCTCAGACACCCCTCCCCATCCTCCAGGTTTAACAACCTGGGAGTCTTGCACGTGACCAAGAAGAACATGATGGAGATTATGACACAGAAACTTCAGCGGCAGCGACTCCGCTCCAGGCCCCAGGGCCTTACTGGTAAAGGGTGGAGACAGGGGAGTAAAGGGAGGTAGCATGGAGGATCTGGGAAGTAGGAGCCCAAGGGTCACATAAGTACCCCCTTCCCAGATGCTGAGCGGCGGGAGCTGGAGCAGGAAGCTAAGGAGCTAAAGAAGGTGATGGATCTGAGTATTGTACGGCTGCGCTTCTCTGCCTTCCTTAGAGCCAGTGATGGCTCCTTCTCCCTGCCCCTGAAGCCAGTTATCTCCCACCCCATCCATGACAGCAGTGAGTATTCTGAGAGGCTGGGCCTGGGTGGGTAAGGGAGCACAGGTGCAAACTCCAACCTCTAAGTCTAAAGGCTGGTCAAATAAGCCTGGGTTCATTTAACCAGGCCATGACACATAAGAGCTGAGTGATGTGGATCAATTTGTTTCTCTCAAGTCTCATTTCCATTTTTGGTAAATGGGGATATGCGGTTCTTACATCTCTAGGGGGTGTTCAGTTAAGAATATAAAACAATTGGCTCCATAAATGGGGTCATGGCTGTTATTACATCATCTAATCCATATTCTGTCCCCTAGAGTCTCCGGGGGCCTCGAATCTGAAAATTTCAAGAATGGACAAGACAGCTGGCTCTGTGAGAGGTGGAGATGAAGTTTACCTGCTTTGTGACAAGGTGCAGAAAGGTGAGACTGGAGGCCAGGCTGGAAACAAAGAACACTAGGCATCAAGATTATAGGCCAGAGCTGGTCAGCAGGGTAGCTCCAGGAAAAGCGGCTCTAGTGAATCCACCTGGAGCTGTGGCTAGCCTTCCTTTTTCCCTCTAGATGACATTGAGGTTCGTTTCTATGAGGATGATGAGAATGGATGGCAGGCTTTTGGGGACTTCTCTCCCACAGATGTTCATAAACAGGTACCCAGGGGCTGAAGACAGGGTGTAGGGCTAAACTAGGGGAAGGCCTCATTGAAAACCTGTATGTCTCTTCCCCAGTATGCCATTGTATTCCGGACACCCCCCTATCACAAGATGAAGATTGAGCGGCCTGTCACCGTGTTCCTGCAACTGAAACGCAAGCGTGGGGGGGATGTCTCTGACTCCAAACAATTCACTTATTACCCACTGGTGGAAGGTAGAGCTGGGCTGTAGATCCCAGGCAGCTAGTGGGACTGGGGGCTGGACTGGAGGGATTCAGCAACTAGCTGAGGGGACCCATAAGCCAAGTCAAGAGTAGAGGGTTCAAGCTGAAGGCTTGAGTTCCAGGACTTCTTTGGGAAGAGCCCTTAGCAAGTTTGGGGAGGGGCTCCGGAGATTTGGCCTGTGAGTCAAAGTTATAACAACCCATTTCCCTCTGTCCCCAGACAAGGAGGAGGTTCAGCGGAAGCGGAGGAAGGCCTTACCTACCTTCTCCCAGCCCTTTGGAGGTGGCTCCCACATGGGTGGAGGTTCTGGAGGCGCTGCTGGGGGTTATGGAGGAGCTGGAGGAGGAGGTGAGGGAGTGCTGGTGTGGACAAGGGGGATGGACATGAAAAGGAGAGAAGTGTGGGAGCCCTGGCTGGTGCCCCTTCCCCACTGCCCTGCCTGTACCCACAGGTGGCAGCCTCGGCTTTTTCCCCTCCTCCTTGGCCTACAGCCCCTACCAGTCCGGAGCGGCTCCTATGGGCTGTTACCCGGGAGGCGGGGGCGGGGCGCAGATGGCCGCCTCGGCGCCCGGCGTAGATGCTGGGGAGGAAGCAGCAGAGCCGAGCACGCCACAGCGCGAGCTGTCGGCCCCGGAGATGCTGGCGCGAGGTAAGCTTCCCTAGTCCGGGTGGTCGGGACGATGGGGTGGGGACCTGGTCTGCGCCCACACCCTCTATCTCCCCCAGCCCGGGAGTACAACGCTCGCCTGTTCGGCCTGGCGCAGCGTAGCGCCCGTGCCTTGCTGGATTACGGCGTCACGGCGGACGCGCGTTCGCTCCTGGCGGGACAGCGCCACCTGCTGACGGCGCAGGACGAGAACGGAGACACGTAGGCTGGCTGTAGGGAGGGCGGGGACGGAGTTCTCAGTATGCGCAGAGGGGAGGGGGCCCTGGAGCTCTGCCGCTGACTGGATTGGACAGGCCGGGTTACAAGCCCACCTTGATAGTTAATAGTTCTGTTTAAGGTATTTAATGTCTCCCAACACCAGTTTTGTAGACAATGAAAAGGCACAGTAATAGTATTTATCTACCTCAAAAGGTGTACGAAAGGATTAAATTCAGGTACAGCGATGACCTTGGAGACAGTCTGGGTTGGACAGGCCCCCATGGATGGAGATGAAGTAGGGAAATTATGGAGGTAGAAGACACTGGAGTGGCTGGGCTTGCTAGATCAGTTTCTATCCCACCTTCATCACCACCACCCCCTATCAGGCCGCTGCACCTGGCAATCATCCATGGACAGATGAATGTCATCGAGCAGATAGCCCACGTGATCTACCATGCCCCCCACCTTGGCGTCGTCAACCTCACCAACCACCTGCACCAGGTGAAGGGGCCCGTAGTGGTGAGGGGGTAGGAGCTGGAGGACAGGTGGGTCTAGGCCAGGGGCAGGCTTGGCTCACACCTGCCTCCACCCCTAGACTCCTTTGCACCTGGCTGTAATCACTGGGCAGACTAGCGTGGTGAGCTTCCTGCTGCAGGTGGGGGCAGACCCTGCGCTGCTGGATCGGCATGGAGACTCAGCTGTACACCTTGCACTGCGGGCTGGTGCCCCCGACCTGCTGCGTACACTGCTGCGGAATGGAGGTTCTGCTGTGCTTCCGCTGCTGCACATGCCAGACTTCCAGGGTGAATGTCCCATTTCATCTGGGGCAGAGACCAGGATGGGAATCTCGTGGGCTCTCAGGGCGGGAAATGAAGTGTCAAGTTTGGCTAGTCACGGATGGGCCAGGGGCCAACTTGAAGTCACAGCTGCTGGCTAAATATTATGCTTCCCCAGGGCTATACCCAGTACACCTGGCAGTTCGCGCCCGCAGTCCCGAGTGCCTAGATCTGCTGGTGGGCGACGGCGCTGAAGTGGAGGCTGCAGAGAGGCAGGTGGGGCGAACTGCCCTGCATCTAGCCACAGAGATGGAGGAGCTGGGGTTGGTCACCCATCTGGTCACCAAGGTAGGGCAGAGCAGCAAAGTGATAGGGCAAAGCATGAGGATTGTGGAAGGATGGCACCGAGGGTTGTGGAAGGCTTTGCGCCAATGAAGAAGCTGAGGGGGTGACCTAGAGGGCCGCCCTGTGATCCATCACTCCCTTATACTCCACAGCTTGGCGCAAACGTGAATGCCCGTACTTTTGCGGGAAACACACCGCTACACCTAGCAGCTGGTCTGGGATCCCCGACTCTCACTCGCCTCCTTCTAAAGGCTGGTCAGTCTCACCCTAGGGGGCAGAGTGAGGAGGCAGGAAAAGGGGTGTCTTGTAGTCCCCCCACTTTGCAGTCTCCTATGAGAACACTTCCCCATGATGACCTCCACCCCCAGGTGCCGACATCCATGCAGAAAACGAGGAGCCCCTGTGCCCACTGCCTTCGCCCCCCACTTCTGGTAGTGACTCAGATTCTGAGGGGCCGGAGAGGGACACCCGAAGCAGCTTCCGGGGCCACACACCTCTTGACCTCACTGGCAGCACCAAGGTATTTACGCCAGTCTGGGCCTGGGATACGATCCAGAATATCTGGATTTAGGGGTGTCTAGGAAAGAGGTGGCCAAAGCTGAGGCTGTCTTCCCAGGTGAAGACTTTGCTGCTAAATGCTGCTCAGGACACCATGGAGCCTCCTCTGACCCCACCCAGCCCGTTAGGTGAGCCCCTCCCTCCTTGCAAAGGTCTCTTTCTGCTTCGGCTCCCCTCCTGCATTGTCCTCCATTAGCCCTGTCAGATTATCATGGGAGAAGTGGGCCTCTGCGCATTTCTGAGGTCATTGACATGTTCATGTGTGTTCCCCTTAGGACCAGGGCTGTCACTCGATGATGCAGCTCTACAGAACTTGGAGCAGCTGCTAGATGGGCCAGGAGCCCAGGGCAACTGGGCAGAGCTGGCAGAGCGGCTGGGGCTGCGCAGCCTGGTGGACACCTACCGAAAGACAGCCTCACCCAGTGGCAGCCTCCTGCGGAGTTATGAGGTTGCTCTCTGCCCGCCCCCCTCCCCCCCTACAATGTCCAGCTTCCTTCTCCCAAACCCAGCTGTTTCATTGGGCCCAAGGCTCCCCAGCCCTAACCTCATGCATCTTCCTTCTCCTCAGCTGGCTGGTGGGGACTTGGCAGGTCTGCTGGAGGCCCTGTCTGACATGGGCCTAGAGGAGGGAGTAAGGCTGCTGAGGGGTCCTGAACCCCGGGACAAGCTGCCCAGCACAGGTATAAGGGTCTTGCCTGGGGTGTGGGTCTGGGCCTGAAGGATGGGAGGTCTGAGGCCCTAACTATCCCATCTTTCCCCAGCAGAGGCGAAGGAGGACAGTGCTTATGGGAGCCAGTCAGTGGAACAGGAGACAGAGAAGCTGGGCCTGCCCCCTGAGCCACCAGGAGGGCTTTGCCATGGACACCCCCAGCCTCAGGTGCACTGACCTGCTGCTTGCCCCCCTCCCCCCCAGCCTCCTTCTTGGCACCCCTCTGTACAGCAACCCCACCTATTCCAACTCTTATTTAACACCCCATGCCCACCCCTCAGTTGGGGCAAATAAAGGATTCTGATAGGAAGGGGAGCCTGGTATCTTCCCCAATTTATGGCCGTTCCAAATGTAACTCTTGTCCCTAGAGCCAGCTGCTCACCCTGGCCCAGATCAGGCATTGGAGAAACACAGGAGGCCTGATAGCAAGTCCAGAGCAGATTTAATGGGGGTAGAGGCTGTACAAAGGGCAGGGCCCACTGCAAGAGGGCAAGCCAGGCAGTGCTGCTGGCCTGCACATAGGAGCCTTACAGGCCTGGGGCCTCACAGACCAGTGACCTGGGCCTGGACACCCTTCTTTCACCTCTGGGAAGAGAGAGTGAGCCCTTGGGGAGGAAGGAAAGAAAACCAGCTCAGCCCCAACTCCTGGCCTCTCTCTGAACCAGATCCCAGGACAGAGGGGGGATTGCTGGTGTCAGAGTGGGGTGGTCTTGGCAGAAAGCAGAAATGTCAGGCCTCCCTCCCCCTCAAAAAAAAAAAGCTCCAAAAGTCCAGGTGCCCTGGGCCCTGGCTCCTCCCACCCCCACCCACCCTGTACGAAAAAGTGCAAAACATTATCACAAAATGGGGGTCTCGGAGGGCTCCTTAGCCCAGGCTCCCGAGACCCATGCCAGCCCTGCCCTGCCCCCGGACACCGCGTCCGGCGCGGTAGGGCCCTGGGCCGGAGACCCTCATGGGTGGCCCGAGGCCTGCCCGGGCTCAGGCAGGGCCACGTCATGCAGGTGCCCAGTAGGCACCAAACCCCCCCCCCACTCTAACCCCCAACTCAGGGCTTCCGCCGTCCACTGCCTGTCCCTGCCCGAGGCTGACGCTCTGAGCCCTGGCGATGGGCCCGAGGCTGGCTGGAAGGGCTGGAGTGATGGGGGATTCCGTCCTCCACACTCCCAGCCTGGACCAGTGCTGCCTCTACCGAGTCCAGCTCCTCGCTGCCTGCCTTCAGCTTGACCCGGAGTAGTGCCGCATATGTGCCATAGCGGGATTTCTGGGGCAGAAGGGCAGCTGTGAGAGACCATGCTCCACCCTCTTCCATCTCAGCTCCACCTGGACCATTGAGGGACTCCAGAGGAGACTAGGAGATAGAAGGGTCTTGCCCACCTAGGAAGCCCCAAGACCCCTGAGGGCTGTGAGATGATTCCTTACTACCAACTGTAACAAGAAATGTTTCTTGAGTCTTTATTAGGGTTGGCTAATGGGAGCTCCTGACACTTCATCTCACTTCCTTGTGGGTGTGGAACGTTATCTTGGTTCCACAGGAGAGGGAACTTTAAAGCTTAGGGAGATTAAGCAACCTGCTCCTAGTCACCCAGCTGGTCTCACTCCTGGATTCCATGTCTACTGGGCGGTCAGGGGCTGGGGAGGGAGATACACACATGCCTGGGCAGAGAGACTTACCTCAAACTCCAGGTAGGCTTCCTTCTGCTGCTGCTCTTCTGCCTCCTTGCCCCGAACCTTTTTACCCAGATGAGCAGCCCGATGCTCCCGCAACTCGCTAGCCATTGCCTTCAATTTGGCTTCGTGGGTCCGCACTTGCTCCTCCTAGTGGCCAGGGAGGGCAGAGTCAGGGGCACTCTAGCTCAGACAGAATTTTGTGAATTATTTAAAAGGTACCCCTTTGGAAGAACAAAGCACCATGCCTAGGGTCACAGCTTGAAAAGTGGAGTGGAGGCTGGACTTTAGCTCTGCCCAGCCCCAGGGTCAGTGTCCTGAGCACTCCACTGGGTCTACCTTACTCCATCCCCTTTTGCAACAGGGAGACTGAGTTGGGGTTACCTGGGAGAGGCGGGTGGCAGCGCTGGGAAGCAGAGGGCGGCTGAACTTCTTCTGGGAGCTAACAGCAGCTGGGAAGGGGGGTGCAGAGAACATGGCTGCCACCACATTGATGCGCGTGATCCAGGACTGCATCTGCTCCAGGCTCCTGGAGGTATAGCAGAGCCACTTGGGACTTGAGCCTGGCCAGGGTCGCCAATCATGGCTCAGGGTGCAGCCTGAGAGGGAACAAGGCAATCTAGGGACCAGAGAGAGACGCTGGCTGGGCAGTAGGGCAGGGGGCTAGTATGGGAAGAAGGAGGGCACTCACGGGGCCTGGAAGAGAAAGACCCGCCAGTCAGCTGTACGCAGGTAGAAGACATGGGGCCGCTTGCTGTAGTCGCTGGCACGGGTGGCCAAGGCATGATGGATGCTGATGGCATTTTTGAGCTCTGCCTCCGACAGGGCCTTCCCGGGTTGGTATTCCTCCTGTGGGGAGCCATCCTGTCCTGATTCCAGTCTGGTCCAGCCCAGCCCACTGGCACTCCCTTGAGCCAGCTCAGCCCTAACCCCTTGGCCTGGCCACACACACACACACACACCCCGCACCTTCTGCAGGTAGAGGATCATGCCCTTGAGGATCCCGTGGAAGCTCTTCCAGCCTCTCTTGCCCCGAGGTGCTGGGGGGAAGGGAGACAGGTCAGGGGGTCTGGAGCAGGTCCACTCCCATCCATCCCCCAGACTCATGACTCAGCCACGTACTCTTCCTGCAGTCAGGGTCTGCGTGCACCTTCCGCACCAGGGCCCCGTGCTTGTAGACGGCGGCCCCGGGCTCTGGAGTCAGGTCCAGGAAAGGGCTGGAGCCGCTGCCGCTGCCCCCGCTGACCCTCTTGATGACTTTGGGGTTGGGGTCGGCCAACTCCGACAGGGAGCGCCTCAGCTCCTCCTCGTCTCTGCAGGTGCGGTCACCTCAGAGGGGATGGCATGGTGCCAAAACCCCCTTTCAGCCCTGGCTTCTGCCCACCCAGGAAAGTTCCTCCAGTGGTTGGAGAGGAGGATGGGGCTGTTCTCTCTGAGAGTGTAGCTCCCTCTTAGGGCCATGGCTCTTGCCTCTGCCCCCCTCCTCCCCGCTTCAGTATAGCCATTTCCCCTCTCAGATCAAGGCCCAAAGAGGCAGTAAATCTCATCCCTCAGATTAAAATTAAGATTAGCACTCCCGAGGTTAGGTTCATGGCCCACCCACCCTTCTCTTCACACTAACTAGCCCCATCCTCTCCATTCTGCACCCCACACCAGCCCTCACACCCTTTTCTAGGCGGACAAACACATGTCTGACTCAGCTTTCTCAATCACACCCAGCACTAGGCTTTGCTCATAGCTTGTTGGTTAATGGTGGCAGAAGGAAGTAATAGCTTCTCAGTAGTATCCAAATACACCCTGGGACAAAAAATCTGATTCTGTCTTGTCACTCCCTTGTCCAAAAACCAGCAGTAGCTCCCTGTTGCCTCCTACATGGAGCCTACAGGTCATCTGATAGTTTCTTTTTGCTTCCACTCTCCACCCTGCCTCCTCAGGGTCTTCACACCAACTCATTTCAATCACCACACCTTTGCCTCCCAAGTATCAGCTTCTTCTTCCCCCTCTTTCAAGACTTTCCTTAAGTCAATCATCCAAGAAGTCTTCCCCCATCTCTCCCTGCATCTCAATCCTGAGCTCTGTCTCCTCTGAGGTCTTTTCTCCTACTACCTGGGAGCTCCCAGCTAACCTGAACAGTAGTGGCTAGATTCTCAGTAGATGCCAACAAATTGTGTGACCATCAACTATTTAAAAGAGGGCTCCTCGCCTCAGACTGGGGGCCTCAAGGTGATAATTGGGCCTTTTCTCTCACACTAGACTCTATTGTGTCTCCTTGGGTTCCCTAAAACCCAAGAGGGGCTCTCCCACTGTTGGTCAGGATCCCACTGCCAGCAACTTTCACGCTCCCACTGAGGTTGCCAAGGGACCACCCCATTTTTTTCAGCATCCGTCCTCCCAGGCTAGCTGACAGCAGCTGCCCACCCCCCCAACCCAGCTTGTCATAACAACCCAGCTAGAGACAAGAGACAGAACCCCATGTCCAAGCATATATCTCCAAAGAAGGAAGTAAGACAACCTCACTGCCTCTCTTGGCCTTAGCCCCTCCCCGCAGCTCCCCC